AAGAGTTGACGAATGTCCTCCACCGTGAAGACCAAGTCGGTTAGAGGCTGTTCGTAGTTTCTCCTTGACAAGAGTGGATGTGACGAGGACGCTGGGGCTGAGCGCATTCACGCATAGTGTTCTCTGTAAACCTCAGATACCACTGTTGGGTCGTTTGTCGGTCCTCCGTTTCTGTCCCTCAAGGAGAACGCGGAGGGCTTGTTTCTGCGGTGAAGTCTCATGTTCTTGAAGAGTAAGTTTTTGTTTTTTCGAGCGAGGTCCAGAATGGTGGCTTGTTTTCGTATGTTCCATTGGCGGATTTCCGACTTACAGCGATTCCGCATTTTTCGAAATGCCAGCTCATCTTCTGTGTCCCCTGTGGTCAACTTTTTGAAAAAGAGTTGGGATCTTTTATCCAGAAGTCGCCGAATCCTTTTTGGCATCCTGCGGTTCATCCGAGTGGAGAAGCCTAGTGTACCAGGAAACATTGGTGAACAACCTGTCTAAGATTTTTCTTCATCCCCGATGCATTGCTGGCGCTACCACCGTATGTTACTGTCAGAACTGCCGTAATCGAACAACGCTCTCCAGCCGCAATCAAACAGGACGGTAACCCGATGAGTACACTCGCCAGTGGAGTAGGCTACTGGTGAGGATCTAAAGAGGGTTGTCCCCTGCAAGCTACTGCACACATATATTTCGACTCCCAGGACCCAATCTCACCTGGTTGCAGATGGCCAAAAACTATGAAAGGTGACGACACTTCGTTGAAACGAGCATCAGCTACAAACTGACCTTCTTGGGTAATGAGAACATAATCAAACTGGTAAAACCAGCATATCCTTGGTTGCGTTGGTGATCCGGAGAGCCGGACGAAAATGGGGAACGTTGAAACCTAGAATTTTACCTTTGAAAAGTTTTGCGGTGAGTGGAGAGATACCTTCGTTCGATGAGCAGTCAAGTCCGGATAGCAGGTTTTGGGGATATCAGTATCACCAAAAACGGCTTATTTTTCGAGGTATTACCAATTTATTTTTCAAAAAATTTGAATTTTTAAATTTCGCGCCTTACTCGCCACGTCGCACCTCTGTCCAAAAAGACCGCGCTCTTTTCCTATTGGCCAGTTATACTTTGTGTGCATTAACTGATTTATCGCTCCCTATGGTCGCTCGAAATATATATACATATAACGTTGATCTCACTTTAATTCGCTTTTGATTGAGGCAGCAAAAGCCCTCTTCTGACGGTCTGGTCTTCCCTGTCTGTGCTACGAGCGGTTGGGCTCGCGTCATAGCTGGGGAGTTGTGCGCTCGTTCTCAGGTCGCGTATAGCCGTTGATCGTACCCGATTCCGGTACGTATCATTTAGGCGACGAGTTGTTTCGTTCTACTTGTAATGGATCCTGCGAAATTGGAGGCCCTGCTCGAGCAACAGCTTAAGCTCATCGAGATGCTTACGCAGCTGAAGGGTCATGCTTGCCCGCTAGTAGTGCTACGTCCCAGCGGGCGCCCGGTTAGCAGGTAGACGCGACTGCGAATAGCCTAGCGGAATTCACCTACGACCCAGACGCTAACATTACGTTCGAGACATGGTTCTGCCGCTACGGGGACCTATTCCGAGTTGATCTCGCTGCACAGGATGATGCATGGAAAGTCCGGCTCTTGCTTCGTAAACTTGGCACGGCAGAGCCGGACAAGAACTGCAACCTGATCCTACCACAGAACCCACGTGGCAGGTCATTCGACGACACCGTACAGACGCTGATGGTTACTTTTGGGGAACGGTCTTCTCTGTTCAATACGCGGTACCGCTGTCTCAAGTAGGTTATGAACGAGTCACATGACTATTTGATACACGTTGGCATTTTTATTCGCGAATGCGAACGTTTCAATTTGAAGTCGCTCACAACTGACTATTTCAAATCCCTGATTTGCATATGCAGCCTCCAGTCTCCCAAGTTCGCAGAAATACGGACGCGCTTGCTCGACCGACTCGAGCAAGACCCCTCGCTGACGCTCAACGCCATTGCTGACGAATACCAACGGTTGACTAACCTACAGCATGACAACACTTTGGTCCAATCTGGGGGCCAAGGTGGTTCCGAAGTTCATGCGGTTCGCCAGGCCTCCAAGCCACCTGGCTCTCAAATCTCTGGCTCGTCCTTGTGTGGTTCGTCGCGCTCTGGCAATACCCAATCAAGTCAGCAGAATGTCCAGAAGAAGAAGCCGTCATCCCCGTTCTGGCACTGTGGGGCTTGGCACTCTGCCAGGCTGTGCCCTTACAAGCAGTATCGGTGCCGGCAATGCAAGACCGCGGGCCACAAAGACGGATACTGCAAGGCGCGCCCAACCAGCACATCCCACGGCGCCTCCGAGCAGCAACCACGCCCGCAGAACTCCAAGCAGGTGGGCTCCGCTTCGAGCCTGCTTGCAACATTTCAAGTCAGTGCCCCGACTCATCGGAAGTTCCTCACAGTCCTGGTCAATGGATGTCTGGTCCGACTGCAGTTGGACACTGCGTCGAACATCACGATCATATCGGATAAGCTCTGGAATACGCTTGGGCGACCATCTGTCCGACGCTCATCCAGAACCGCCATCAGTGCCTGTGGCGGTGAACTGCGGCTCTCTGGAGAACTGCAGTGCTGTGTCTCATTCAATGGAACGACATTCACTGGGTAATGTTGTGTGGCCGCTGCCGCACTGAAACTTCTTGGCCTTGATTGGTTCGACCGTCTTGGTTTGGCAGATGTCCCACTCAGTTCCATCTGCAACGCGGTCCGTTCTCACGTTCTTGCCCCAGATCAAGCCGGTGATATTATTCGGCACGTCGCCAAAGTTTTCGAACCTGGCCTTGGTTGCTGGCCACAAAAGCAACCCTCCAAATTCGACCAGACGCTATCCCAGTGTTTCGCCCCAAGAGACCAGTCCCATACGCCTCCTTGCCACAGGTTGATGCTGAACTTCAGCGTCTCGCGCAACAAATCGTCTTATCTCAAGTAACGTATTCCGAATGGGCAGCACCGATCGTCGTAGTGAAGAAGCCAGATGGCATTTGTGCCGATTTCTCAACCGGTCTGAATGCCGCGCTCCAGCAGCATCATTATCCACTACCAGCGACAGACGATCTATTCGCTGTTCTAGACGGTGGAAAGTTCTTTGCAGAAATCGACCTTGCGGAAGCGTACCTCCAAATTGAAGTCGCACAAGAATCACGCCCACTGTTGACAATCAACACACACTTTGGGCAATATCAGTAAAACCGTCTTCCATTTGGCATCAAAACTGCCCTTGCAATCTTTCAGCAGTTGATGAACACCATCCTCTCTGGCATTTCAGGTGTGGCCGCATACCTGGATGATTTGCTGATTGTCTCTGGCTCTACCGCTTAACTTCACACGTGAATTGACATGGTGCTTCAACGCATCCAGGAGAATCGTTTCCGCCTCCGTCCGGAGAAATGCCAATTCTTCTTGGCAACAGAGAATTATCTTGGGTTCATCTTCGACGCCTCGGAAGCCATCCTGACCCGGAGAATATCCGAGCTTTACAACAGATGCCACCTCTGGAAGACGCCCAATCGTTACGCTCTTTTCTGGGGCTAATCAGTTAATATTCGGCATTCCTGCCCGCGTTACACGATATCCGGCCTCCGCCTAATCGGTTGCTTGGAAAAGACGTCCACTGGTGTTGGTCAGAAGAATGTGAGGAAGGTTTCTGCAAGCTGAAAACGATGCTCAGTTCTGATATTCTGCTGACCCACTACGACCCGAAGCCACCGATTATTGTGGCAGCTGGCGCCTCCAATTGTGGAGTCGGTGCCGTCATCCTACACGTCTTCCCAGACGGATCAGAGAGAGCCATTATGCCCGCGTCGAATTTGCTAACTTCAGCAGAACAGCGATACGGCCAAATAGAGAAGGAAGCGTTGGCATTAGTGTTTGCAGTTCGGCGTTTCCACAAAATGCTGTATGGCTGCCGTTTCACTCTACTCACCGATCACAAACCACTGCTCTCCATCTTTGGTTCAAAGAAAGGTGTTCCGGCGCACTCTGCCAACCGCCTGCAAACATGGGCTCTGATTATGCTGGGGTATGACTTCGATATTCAATATCGGCGCACCACCGACTTCGGCCAGGCAGACGCATTATCTCGCCTAATTAGCAACCAGCCAACTCTTGAAGAAGACAGGGTTATTGCCCAGGTTGCTTTCGAGGACTCAGCCGGTCCCCAGTTGGTCCAGTCCGTTCGGGCACTACCCATGACGGTTACAGAAGTCCAATGAGCTACCAAGGTTGATCGAACTCTTCAAAAGGCAGTCCAAATCATGAATTCGCGGTGGCCCTCGAACCTCAAAGATGGTTGCCTAGAACAGCTCCTCCATCGCCAAGATGCTTTGGCAATCGCAAATAACTGCTTGGAGATCGCGTAGTGATTCCCAACGCTCTCCACCATTGAGCTCTCCGTCAATTACATTCGGGACATCCTAGAATAAACCGAATGAAGTCATCCGCCTGTAGTAACTCTAACTGGACACACATGGATCGCGACATCTCTGACTGCGTCAGAGAGTGCTCAAAGTGTCAACAGGCCGCGGAGAACCTTCCACGCCTTCCGCCAGCTGCCTGGCCTCGACCCGAATGCCCTTGGTGCCGTGTGCATATCGACTACGCTGGCCTTATTAATGGAGTGACATACCTCATCGTGATTGATGCCTTCTCCAAATGGCCAGAAGTTGTGCCTGTCGTCCCACCAACGACAACGAACACTATACGGGTATTGTCACAGCTCTTCAACCAGCACGGTCTACGGGAGACGGTATCAGACAACGGATCACAGTTCTGCTTCAGCTGTTTCCAAGAGTTCTTCCGGGAAAATGCCATCACACACGTCCGTTCGCCACCATACCACCTCCAGTCCATCGGTCAGGCGGAAGGTTTCGTCGATACGTTCAAGTGGGCGCTGCTCAAGTCTCGAGGGGAGGGGACGCCCGTCGAAGTTCTCCAGAGATTTCCTTTGGTCTGTCCAAATGAATCTCTAGAAGATCAAAAGTCACCCGCCGAAGCGCTCATGGGCCCGAAATTGCAAACTATCAATTCGGCCATGTGTCACGCACCGATGGCTCGTCCCCGACCTGATGTGAACACAACCCCGAACCAGTTTCAAATAAGTGAAGCTGTTTTTGCCCAAGGCCGGACCAAGGCACAAACGCTGGATCCACATAAAAACGCAGCAGCGTAATGTATGACATCTCTGTGGGCCAAGACATGTGGACCCGACACAGGAATCAACTGCGTCCACGCCATCTATCAGAGCCACCGGCATCCCAGAGCGAACTTCCACTCGACATACTTCTTGACACATTTGAACTGAAGGCCGCCACACCTGATGCAGCCCAGCCGGCGACAAAAAACGCACCAGCCAGTGAGCCGAATCTTCTACGAAGAAGATGGACAGAACGCCGTCGACGCCAAACCACTTCTTTCCAACTGAGCCCCACGAAAACCGCCGTACTGACATTTCTTTCCTCAAGGAGGGGTGTTGGGAATATCATTATCCCCAAAAAAGGCTTACTTCTCGAGTTGTTGCCAATTTATTTTTCAGAAAATTTGAATTTTCAAATTTCGCGCCTTACTCGCCACGTCGCACCTCAGTCCAAAAAGACCGCGCTTTTTTCCTATTGGCCAGTTATACTTTGTTTGCATTAACTGATTTATCGTTCCATAAGGTCGCTCGAAATATATATATATATA